CTGGGTAGTCGTGAATATCCCCATGCACACACTTTATACTCACCCGGGATGCCTCCACCAATGCCCCGGGTCGAACCAGTCTCTGGTGGATCATAGACTGCGTGCAGCCAGAGTCCACCATCGCCTGATGTATACCCCCCTGGATCCTTACCGGAACGCTGTACGTCGCTCCCAGACCGGGGGAGGGTGCTGGAGGCCCGGCAACCCGCACCGTTTGGCCCACCTCCATTAGCGGGCACTCCCGCCGGTAGTGTCCGGGCTGCCCGCACCTCCAACACTCCTGCCCTGGCGGTTGAGGAGCCCTCTGTAGGTCAGGGAGGGTGCCGGCCAGGCCGGGTGGATCAGTACCCCGTTGAGGGGCTAGGGCGCGCGGGGACGGAGGGGGCCGAGTCGCAACAGGCCGCGGGGAACTCCGTCGTGGCGCGGGAACGGGTTGCGTCGATGCGGTCAGCCGACCGCCCTCCCCACGGTCCCCGGGGTGCACCGCAAGGTGGTCCTCGGCGAGGGTCACGGCGGCTTCCAGCGTCGTCGGCCGGTGGTAGCGGACCCAGGCCGCCGTCCGCGGCGGAAGACCCTCCAGGAACTGCTCCGTCACCACCTTCTCCACCACCGCCGGCGCCCCTCCCGCGCCCTCCGGCTGCAGCCACCTGTTGGCCGCGTCTGTGAGTCGCTGGGCAAATGCGAACGGGCGGTCCCCCGGCCCCAGCCTCGCCTCTCGGAACCGCCTCCTATGGTCCTCGGGGGAGAGCCCCAGTCGATCCATGATGGCTTTCCTCACGCTGGCGTAGATGTGCCTGGGACCGAGAGGCAGGCCCAGGGCCGCTGTCTGCGCCTCCCCGGTTAGGAGCGGCAGGAGACGGATCGCCCACTCGTCCGCCGGCCAGCCACACGCCCCCGCCATCGCCTCGAACATCTCCAGATATGACTGCACGTCGTCCTCCGGGGTCATTTTGTGCACCACCACGCCCGCATACGCCGAGGGACCCGGCACCGTCGGGGAAGCGACTGGTCGGGCTGCTAATTGTTCCAGTACCTGGGTCTGCCGGTCTGTAGCAGCCTGCAGCGCCCCCAGGAAGTGCCGGTTGGCCTCGGCCTGCTCGCGCTGCATCGCGGCGATCTCCCCCAGCATCCGTCCAAGCGCCACCGCCGGCTGCATCAGGCCCTCTCCGTGGTCGTTCGCGTCCATCCCTAGCCAGGCGCCACTGTAGCCGTGATAGCGCTACCACCGGCGGGTTCTTGTAAAGACGCACGGACACAGGATGAGGGTAACCAGTCTTTATTGTCCAAACGGGGAAGGCAGTGAGCAGGAAGGAGGCGTCTGGCTGGTACGTGTATCTCTCGTTTTGTCCGGCTCCGCTCAGCTCAGCTCTCGTGCTCCGCTCTGCTCTGCTCACGATCTCCCGACCTGGATCCTGCTCACTGCTTATGTAGAAGACAATCAGTGCAGATCATTTACACCTGGTTACTCCTCACCTACCAGCACCGTCCCCTGAACCACTCCCCCGCTCTCCCCCCTGCAGCTGAGCTAACCACGCCCCTCCACCACATATGCATATTGGTGTTATTCTATATGAGATCCATTGTTTAAACCTCTGATCAATTCAATACCTTGAATAAATTGTGTATCGTAGGCTATCCTTCGTAGGGGCCCGAGCTCCTCCTCTAATCGTTTTTTCCTTATTACTTTAAACCACAGCTCTAGTATAACGTCCATCTTAAAAATTATTTCAAACTAAATTATTTCAAGGTTTATATGGAAAGGCCAAAAGCCAAGAATGAAATATGCAACATTACATTACAGATCCCAATATGCAACATTACAGATTGGGAAAAAATGAAGGGGGGATGTCACTACCAAACCTCAGGGCGTACTTCCTGGCAGCTCAAATTAGACCAATAAAATACTGGTGTACCAACGATTACCAGGCAAAGTGGAAAAAGTTTCTGTAGAAGGAAGGGAAATACAAAGCCTTATTGGAGACAGAAGTTTGGCAAACATCTACTTGAACAGATGGACGTTGTCAGCGAAGCAGGTTTTCATTATTTGGACTGGGGCAGAAGCAAAACATATGTTGGACACTAAAATTAAGTTTCCAAGTTTCCCTCGCTATGAGAGAGCTGGAGAGCCTTTCGCTGACATAATAATAATTATTATAATAATGGTCTTACTAACTGAATTTTTTAGGTGTCTTAACATAGGACTGCTGCACCAGTCCATGTTTCTGCAAACTGGTGTCTAGCTAATTTCTATCGCTGCAGATAACATACTGACTATGGGTGAGCACCTAAATTAACCCCACTTCATACCAGCCAAACTATTCATGCACTATGTCCTTAATCTCCCTCAAATGGAAATCTTTAGAGGGTTCCCATGCAGTCTCATCGTTAGTGTGTCGATTACACAATGCACTCCAAAAATGTTGCTATAATAAGACTTTTTCTGCCTCAGGTTCGCCAACGTGCTTGTGTACTATGGCCTGTCGCTGAACATTTCAGACTTCGGAATGAACATCTATCTGACCCAGATGATCTTTGGCCTGGTGGAGATGCCGGCGCGCACCATCACCCTGTTCACCCTCAACCGCTCCCGCAAGCTCTCCCAGCTGGCTTTCTTGGCCGTGGGGGGCTCAGCCTGCCTGCTGACCATCTTCATCCCCAACGGTAGGGACGCAGTCGGCACTTTCTGCCGACCTCGTCAGATACTGTCCAAACATCTGCAATCTGTTAGGGCTCAGCGGTGTGGCCAAGATAGAAGCTTTTTATGGTGGCTTATTTTACAACCAGGATTATATAACAAACTAATATCATGTATGAACTACAGTCCGGTCATAAATATTTAGACATTGACACTATTTTCATCATTTTGGCTCCGTGCACCACCACAATGGATTTGAAATTAAGCAATCAAGATGTGCTTTAAGTGCAGACTTTCTGCTTTAATTTGAGGGTATTTACATCAAATCAGGAGGAGGCTGGTGATGCTTGGCCATGTCTTCAGTTCCTGCTTGTTCTTTGGGCATTTCCCCCTTCAGTTTTGTCTTCAGCAAGGGAAATGCATGCTTCAGAACACTTGTTCCAGAACTGTACAGGCTCTTTTAGATATATTTTTTTGTTACATAATAGTATTTGTTCGTAACCAAAATTACCAAATGTAAATTGACGTTCATTAGCGTGTAGCGGTGCCACAAAGCTGCACCCATGACTGAGAGGCACTTCCTTCTGACCTCTAGAGCTGTCTGTCGTCAAAACTGTACTGGCCATGATTGGGAAGTTCGGAATCACGGCATCTCTTTCCATTATTTACGTCTACTCAGCTGAAGTGTTCCCGACCGTTATCAGGTGAGTGTTTCCCACCCAAAACACTGCTTCCTGACTCACTTGTATCAAAACCAAACCTGTTTTGGTTGCAAAGGCCTTCGATCGGTTACCTGACATCCAATGGCCTTTGACCCTGTGTCGTGAAATAAAGCCAGCTGTGACTATGGTACGTTGTGATTAGAGGTGTGACGCCATGAAGAGCCATCTGATCAAAAAGCAATCAGCTGTCCATAGTTGTTATCCGTATCATAGATAATATATTTTACAATAACGTCCATTTCTAAATTATCTTTCTTGTGTTTTGACCACATCTGTGCTCTTGGCAGAGAAAAGGAACATAGATTAGAGTCCAATGCCATGAAAAGTAGGCTCTATTATGATTCTTTAGGGGGGGAGTTGTCAAATAAAATGTTTGTCAGATTAATTCGAGCGCTATGAGGAGAAATTGTAGCCTACTTTATATCTTGAATCATACTCCACAGGCTCACTTCTCAGCCATAAGTTGCCCTATCATTCATCCCTTCTCATGGGCTTACATTTCAAATTCTGCACGGCGTTGGCACAATCAGGGGTTAACCTGCTGGCGGATGTAGGCGAGATGTCATTCTTGGGAAATTCTAGGGAAGTATTCATGCGCGTCAGCATCACCATGTGGTAATTTGTGACATGGTGCTGACCTTGTGTGTCTCCCGCAGACAGAATGGGATCGGCATCGGCTCCATGTGTGCTCGGACTGGAGGGGTCCTGGCTCCCATGATGTACCTCCTGAGGGGCATCAGTCCCCAGGCCCCCATGGTTCTCTGTGGGCTCTGCCCTCTGCTGGGCTCCGCCCTCACCCTGCTGCTACCCGAGACGGCCAACAGGCCGCTACCTGACACCATCGAAGACGTGGAGGGGCCCGACCTCAGGTTTGACACCGCCGTTTTGAGACTGTTGTTTATTAACTTCACGTAACCAACGAAGGAAAGAAAAGGCACTGGAGGATTGGTCAAAACTGAAAAATCAGTTTTCTGAAGGAGCTCTGGCAGCTGCAGATCTCCACTCTTCAAAGTTATGGTGCTCATGGAAACACTACCACCTTTGTCCACAAGGACTGGCAAAATTAAAACAAGATCCAAGTTGTAATAACTTCAAACCCTTTTATGTGCAATTGGGGAAAGAAGATAGTAGAAGTTTGAAATGCACCTCGACTTTGACTTTCTCACCAATGATTTTCTTGAACTTTTTTAACCCACAATTTGAGCCTTGCCACTCCAGGGACTATTGCCCTGAATCTGAAAGCCATTTCTGTAATATTAACCCATGTATGTAGACACAAATTATGTTTTTGAGATTAGCGTTGATGTTAGACAGATCTTTTCCACTCATCCTTAAAGAAGTGGAATTTTTTTACCGGACCTGTTTTTCATCCCGACTGCAGTTGTTCCTCTATCTGCACTGAAGCTCAGATATTCTGTCTCATGTCTCCCACCTATTCTGTTTCAGTAGGGAGGATGACAATCCTCTTTGAAAGCGGATATCTGCAGCACCGGGATGGACTGATGATGATCAACAACAACTACAACTAGAACACCAACACCGGTGCGTTCCGCGAGACAAGTTGGTGTTTGTTACGTTCAACATCCACACTTTCATTTGAAGTAAAGATTAGTTGTTCTTTTTTCAAGAGTCTTTGAACAATTCCAAACACTTTTTTTGTAAGTAATATTTTCATCCATCTTTTTTTTCGTTTTTATACCGTCTTGGCTGTAGTTCCTGTGTGTGAAAGATCATCAACTTACATCTTGTTTTGTCAATGGAGTGAGGTGACTCCATCTATGTAGTTTTAGTATAGTCCCTACGTTATGTGACGAGCAGCTGCTTAGGCATCGCACTGAGTCAAAGGGAGCCATATAGCCATATACAGTCCTTATTCAATGAGACAGCTTCATCCTACTACAGAGCACAGGTTTGCTGCAGTGACTTCTTCCGCGGGACTCTGTGGTCACTCGGGAACAAGCTGTAAACACAACATCGACACAAAATACAGCAGGCTTTGAATAGTATGCATCCACGTGTGTGTAACACAGCATTCACTTTCCTTTTAGATTCTTTTGTCCCCGAGCTCTCAACCTCGACCTCCTTCACACCTTCACTGATGTTCCCACAGCTAAACGGGAGCATCACCTGGTAGAGGTGCCAGGAGAGGAGACACTGTTATTGTCAGCCCATGGAATCTGGGGTAGTTTTTTTTTTTTTCCTCCTTTTTAAGCTTGTTTGTGTCCCAGACGTCTCTCCTTGAAGAGCAAGTTACCCTCAGCAAGCTGGAAAAGAAACGATTTACCAGTCGTAAAAAAGACTGAAGATCTGGTACTTTCCTGGAAATGTTTTTCAATGTTTTCCTATTTTCCTTCAGCTCAGAACAATGTTGTTGGCTATCTGCTGAATCAATAACATTTCCATCTGAAAGTCATATCCAAGATCTTATTAACATTTAAATGGTTGTTCATGGACTGGAAAAGGCTTGTTATGTTGTGTGAACTCTCTGAACTCTTCAGTCCCCTCGCTTGGCAACATATGCGGTTCACCACAAAGCGACGGTTCACCTCAACATCCAAAATACATTTATTACATTTACATGTATGTATGTATGTATGTATGTATGTGTGTCTATATATATATATATATATATATATATATATATATATATATATATATATATGTATTGTGTTATCAGTATTCTATGCGGAGCGCGTTCAGACGATAAACAAAGTATTTGAAGGTTAGTCAGTGATGCCGCTGCAGTTCAAGGCCCGATCCCCACCCTAAATCCTCAGAGACATAACCAACGTCACCTGGTAAGTGGTTGAGTGTGAGGGGTCTGTGAGTGCTTTAAATGGTGTAAATACGAATGTTACAGCTCCTTGCTGCTGCACCATGACAAGAAATATTATTTAAAATTGAGGGTATTTATTTCATATGTTTTACTCTCTGATTTGAATATCTTTCAGGCTGTTTCTTCATCAAATAAGAGGTATTCTTTAAATATGTTTTACTGTTTTTTGTAAAAAAAAATTGACAACATTTTATATTTGATAAATTAATATTGTCTGATTTTGTGGGGGTTTTTCTCTAACTTTAAACCTCGACGTTTTAAAAGTATACATTTTGATATGACGATCTGAACACACGTGCCCTCCTCTTTGTGTACCTTTTTTTACACCTCCATGCTTTCAATGCTTATCCCGTTTTTAAAGTCACATTACAATGACTTTTGGGTAATTCCTTTGGGCTGGGTCAGCAGCTAATGGTGACTCACGAAAAGGGTTCATAAAGGGCTTAAATGTCTCGCAGAGAGCCTTAAACGCTCAACGATTTGAGAATGGGACAGAACCAAACCCTCACAGAGTCAGAGTGGGAGCGTGCCTCATGGTGATTGGGCCCATCGCTACTCTCTGGTACTCTGGAAACGAAGTGTGGTGACAGGCGTGGTGCACAATATGTAATATGTTTTATCTTTTAAATGCATGAAAAACAAATTAGTAAGTAGTAAAAACAAATGTTGAACTTTTTGATTTGATGTAAAATGATTGTATTGCTGCATCTAAACTTTTAATTTTATATTCAGAGATTCTGTGGCTCAAGTTGTTGCTGTGAAAGATATACTTGATTTTTAAAATAAAGATTTCTCGAGCAGAGTGTATTTCATACTCATCTGTTGCTTTCTAAATGTTTTCATTTAAAAAAAAATAATATATATATATATATATATATATATATATATATATATATATATATTATGTGTGTGATCCCAAAGTGGTTAATAACATAAAAATTATAAATCAATTGAGTTTATACCCCATTAAAACGTTCCCTCGATTAACTGGATTGATTGAAGTTTCTCACAAAAATCTATGCTTTGTAAGTTCAATTCAAACAAATGTGTATAATAATTAGGGCTGCAACAACGAATTGATGAAATCAATAAAAATTATTATTAAATTATTAAAAGTGTTGGCAACGAATTTCAGAATTAAAGTCTAGCTTACGTAGAGGAAAGAGCAGCCAGCAGCATCGGCAGTTGTTGTGAGTCACATGGCGCAGGCAGAGAAGTCTATTTGACTTAAGTCGTCCAAAGTGTGCGAGCATTTCACACTGAGTAAATTTAAAAAGTGTGTCAATGGCAAAATATGCAGACGTAACTTAACGTAGCACGGGACCACCGCGTTATCCTGCTTTGACGTGAGGAACGTAAGGAACCTCCAGCAGCTGTGCTGCTGCTGTTTACTCTTATCCAGCTGAACAAGGCAGCGCTAACTCGCTAATAACAGCAGTAAAGCAGTTAGCAAGATCAAAGACATTTTATTTGCTCGCCTTTTTTGGACCACTTATTTTTCAATCTGTTATCATGTATATATTTTGTGCTTTGTTCCATTTCGGTTATTGTTGACACTGCGCATATACTGTGGGTTATATGGTAGTTGATGTTATGCCTATAGGGAGACACACGGTGATCCATTAAACCGGCGCGAATAACGAAGAAGCCTCTAATGCATTTATTTACAAATGGCATTTTAAATTCATCTCATAGCACTTGGTTATTTTGTAGCCGTATTTAGGCGTGGTGTATACATTTGTGTCTGTGAGTGTAGTGTAGAGAACAGGTTCTGATGTTAAAACAAATCCTGTTAAATTTTATAATTTGTATTTTTCTTTATTTTTTATGAATTATTATGTTCAAGGAGCAACCTGTACTTTCTCAAGTATTTTTTCAATGTAAATTTGCAGTTCTATTTTAGAATAAAGGGTTGAAATCAAAGCTTTTTAATGCTGTTTTTTTTATCCGATTCATCTATTAATCGAAATAACCTTTAGCTGCAGCCCGAATAAGAATAAGTTCCATGAGAAACGTGTCTGTGAAACAGTAGTTTGTTGTTGTTGTTGTTCATTTTGGCCACAAGAGGCAGACGTGCACCTCATGTTCTGTAATTTTTTCATGAGATTTGTTAAACAAAGACAAAAATAACATGTGTATTGTGTGAGCAACTTATCTAAAAAAAGGAGTTCATTGAAATTGAATTGCCTGAAAAAACTCCAATTCTATTGCATCATATCCGGTTCCTTCCATCGTCAGGCTTTACACATAAGACGCCCACAGACATCAGGCAGCAGCTCCGGGCTCCGGGATGGCTGCGAATGCAGTTCGACCGCACGGAACCAGCCGCGTCTCCGGCCAGCCGACTGCTCTGCTGGGCATTAATATGCTGCTCCGCGTGTCACCACAAGATGGCGCTGCGACGTCAGGTTTATCAAAGTAAACATACTTACAGCTGTTTGTCAATTCTGTAGAAGTTATTTAACAGAAAGCACCACCGAAACAAAGAACACATGTAACGACAATTGTCTATTAAACTGTTAATGTAGTTTATATGTCACTATATCTTTATTGAGCCGAAGCCACTTTCAATTTGTTTTGCTTTAAAAAGGCTAGGATTGTTAAGTTCGGCTTTGGCATTTGTGTTAAATCCACGTTTACTAGACATCTTAATCTAAGAAATCTGTTTACACACGTTTACACGCACCATCCCCATCCCACTCACCAACTGCCCCCCTCACTATCCTCTGATTGGACGTACTTCCTGCCAGTCAATGGACCGGGCCATTATGCACCCTTTACTTGCTTCTCAAAAGCTCGGTCTGAATTCTGACTATCTGGATAATTATTTGTGATAATAAAAGCCAAAAAGTTCATAATACGCATATTAATAAGTAAATTAAGAAGTATAATTTATGTATTTCTAATAAAATAAGTTGTTTATTCAAACACATACCAAAAGAGACATGTACCAGGACCAATTGTTGTCAGGGGGAATGACAATAATATGGCATAAAATTCCCCCCAACAATGAATATCATGCTGTTGAGTCCCCGATCCTGTAAACATTCCATTCAACAGTTCCGCTACGAAGAACAATTTCCATATCTTATTTCCCCGAAACCGTTTCGTTGGCTGCAACTCGACTACCTTCCCGCTGCCTCAACGTGATATTTCCGACGGCACCTGAAGGCGACGCCAGTTTCATCGTGGGCCCCGCAGAGCTAACGCCATCACACGCAGCGGCCACGACGAGAGAGCTCAGCGACACCAGGGCCCCCGGAGCTGCGCCGTCCGCCCCCACCCAGTCAAACCCTTCTTCACCACGGCTATGGAATAGAGAGCTGCGGGATACTAGTCGCGTCTGAACAGGTAACGCAGTTTCCTTTTTGACTCATCTTCCCGATGTCTTGGTAACTCCTGAAGCGGTTTGACTCACTTTGATTTTATTTTGTTTAATTTCCAGATATATACTATTATTGATAGTTCTTGAACGTAAAGGACACTGCCGCGTGTTTGCTAGAGACGCGTTTCCCCCGCGGAACGTGACATCGGGAAGGCTATCTGGGTACACGCGACACCCGGTGTGTAGTTCGGTGAAAACGTGCACGTCTATCCCGGGTTACTGGAGTGAAGAAACGGTTTACCGGTGCTACTTCACGTCACAGACGAGCAGAAGGAATACTTTGTTATCACACTCGAGGCTTTCAGCCCCGGCGGCATCCTGACGCATAGGCTCCTCCGCTCGGCTTGTTTACCACGCTTACCCCCCTCCCCTTGACCACCACCATCATCAGCATCAGCATCATCGTCCACATTAGCAACAGCATCAGCATCTTCCTATAGATGCTCAGTGGAGAGTCGAGTGAAGGACACTACTTCTCTCTCCTTTTCGATCTGTCTTTTTCTTTCTCTCTCTCATCTGGGATGCATTTAGATGTTTTCTGCTAAAAACACCATCTGCTCGAGCTACTGTCTCTGTCCCAATGTCTGGTTTGTGACTTCTGCATGGCAATGTGGTGCTTAAACACTTCTTGCATGGCCCTCTTTTTTTTAACAATGTCTGGCCGTCCTCAGCCCCTTATTTGGGCTTCTTCCTTTCAAGAAGTGTCCCCTAATGAGTCGGCCTCTATTTACAACACGTGCCAGACAGAAAGACGTGCCAAATGGGGCTCTCAGCGGGGGAGGGGACGTACTTCCATATCTGGAAGTTGTAGCAACTGTAATTTATTCTGTTATTATCCCTATTTTCAGGAAGACAGCTCCCTTTGTTAGTTTTTTTGTCAAGCAGTGCCAGCAGCTTGGAGAAAGCTTGCTTACTCCGCCTTGAGAGTAAGCTTTCTGCAAGAAAGGAAACCTTGCGATGCAGGTGCAGCGCATGGAAACCCAGTATATGGATCAGTCACCAGGCCGCCAGCGTAATCTGTCTTAGTGGTAGTGTTGGAAACCACGCACAGGAACCAGAAGCGCCTTTTGAAATATCTTTCTGCTTTCCGTGGAAGCGTATCATGTTCTTAAGTTTCTTCTCGTTATCAAAAGAAAATCTTTACCACCTTGTTTTTTTTTACCAGGAGGGTTGAGGACTTAATCGTCACTGGTTGCTCTTGTAATTTAGTCCCAATGACACATGTGGAGAAACTTATGTTATGTAAAGTCTTTATTGACATAAGACTTTTGGTTAAAGGTTCACTTGAAGTGACTTTGAAGAACTCCCAACTGGTCAAGAAGCGGCCATTATTTAAGGCTAAACTTTTATTTTGTATTGACCTCGGTGGCTCTCGTGGACGGAAGTAGCAAGCGCCAGAGTCCCTTAGTCCTGGTTGTCCCGTTTTTGAAGTTGTTTTTTGGTGTTGTGAAACCTTTTGGGGATTTTACTGATGGTCCAAACCAAAACTAAAAATATCATTCAATCTCCACAGGAACTGAAAAATGATGATCTGTATTTTTCAGTATTTTCTATTTTAGAAGCTAAATAATGCATTCATTGAACTAATGAATGTGTAGATTAAGCTGTATTACTGAATCATGTAGACTTTGAGTACCACCGATGTACTACTATACAAATATACATGTTATCCCAGCCAACACGACTCTCCTTCTTTTCCTCAACGCTATTGACCACATATTATGGTCTTCGTCAGGGAGGGAGTTTACTCACTCGTCGTGGAGCTTGAGGTTTATCCCCAAGTTCATCACTTTAGCCGTCTCTGTGTCAACCGTGCAAATTCTGCTGACGAAGGCTATACAATGCTATTGGAAGCCCCGGGAAAAGCTTGTAAGTGTAAATTTGTCCTGTGTATGCAGCTTTCTCTGGGGTGCATTTCATTGTAAGAGGATAATAAATGCTATTGGATACGTTGCTCGGCCTTCAGAATACTGTGAAAACCAGCGTGACCGATTAAATGCATAAATGTAGTTCAAGTTGGCTAATCTCAGTGTGGAAAGTCTGCTGCGTATTAAACCAATATAAACCCCGCCCGGTCTCATCAGTTGAAGTGGGAGGTAGAATCCAGTGGAGCAGTTGATGACATCACGCGGACCTCGAGGTGGGTCAGATGGCGCCGGCTCGTACGTCAGGGACCGGTAGTGCAGTCAGCTGCTCCTCCATGCTGGAGGTTGGGAAGACATCCCTACAGCGGCGTCCTTTGTGTCCCGCACTGTGTCTCTACTCCCCGCCCCCCACTGTGACTGAGTCGTGACATAGCTATTGTTACGGATGAGTACAAGCTGAACCACTGATGGAGGTTAAAGAGGAGCCGTACATTTAAACTTTTTTTCAAGCTTTAGTCAAAATGATGTGACTTTTTCGTGATGAAGCGTAAAGCTGAAGCTGAAACTCTACTGATTAGCAACCCCCAAGGTTTGATTGGCGTGCTTTTTTTCCAGCTCTATTTAAAGAAAAATGAAGTAATGGCAGCCGGGCGTATGTCTACGGGTCATCGCTGCAATGATGTCAACAAAGGAAATTATGTTTGAAAGTGATACACCTGCATGAAAGCTTGTCAAAACAGGGGATGCCTGGGGAGACGTCCGTCTTAGGGCGGATTGTCTTCAAGGGAATTCATTTAGCAGCAGTTGTTTGTCGCGCTTCGAGGGGCAGGTGTAACCGACTGCACAAATCCCCCATCAGCCCGCCGCTTCCACCTGCCCCAGCTCGCCTTTTGTGCTTGACTCCAAACGTACAAAGTCAGTCGGCGGTCGTCAAGTGTGGCTTCATTTCCCTCTGAAGGGGAATCACATTTGCTCATTTACATATGAGGCCAAAGCTAGACACGATTTCTTTCTCTATCTTTCTCCCTTGCTCGCTCATATCCTGTTCAGTATTTTTTCAATACTACTACCTTTTTTTCTCAATCTCTCCGATTACATTTAGCTCTCAAGTGCCTTTAGCCTTTTTATTCAGTAGTTCAATAGTGCACTGTAGCTTTTCTGTCTATATTTAAAACCGTACCTCTAAATAAAGTCAAGCAAGTATGTTTTAAATCTGCCCGAGCCCGAGCGGAAGATTCATACTGCTGCTGAAGCAGTTGTGTGGAAATGTTAGGTTACTATAACAAGTTGCGTCCATATGTGGGTGTCTAAGCAGACAGCCACAGGTTTAAGGCATCCCGTGGTGGTTTGAAAAGCAGCTGGAGGAGCTCACTGACCATGCGGTAAGTGTTATATTTACTACGGCACAAAATGCTGTTCTGCCATCTTGCAATTATCAGACATTGTTTGCAGGGCATTGACTGAGGGAATAGTTGGATAAGGCCCATTCCATTATATCTTCTTCCCATTCTAAGTTCAAAAAGTTTAAAGCTGTTCTGTGCCTCTCAATAGCAGCGGATGTGCTTACGAGCACCAGACACACTTCAGAAAAGCCTCATATTTTACTGCAGCAGGATCTGACAGCCTAACCCTACTTAGTCCTGGTTCTCGTTGACCCGGACCTTCCTTCACCAATAATGCTCGGGGCAGACGGAGGAGAGGGCGCTGCCGGTAGCGGAGCTCCTAACATCTCCGCCGGAGCTCCGACTGCCGGTCAAAGCCAGATCTGTCCTCGGTGGTCTGGTTTGTTGTATGACAAGATAATTGAGTAAATTATCTGCTGTCACTTGCTAATTATGAGAGAACGAAGTGGTGAGATTGGGTCAGACGTTGTTGGTGGAGGAATACATTTTGGACTATGGTTACGAAGAGGTGTCGTTTGTGTTTTAACGCTTCGCTGATCAGCTATTGAACCGTAAAGTCCAAATCTGTGAATATCTTGACAACTTTACCAAACTAAGAGGCCATCGCACAGATGCCAGGCTGTGTTCACAGTTGTTTGTGGAAGTGCAAAACTTCAGAGATTAATGTGTGGTTGTTGAATGGTACAATCTGAGATAGTTGATTGCTGATTTATTCATAAGTCTTGCGGTACCTACGTTTCCTGAAGGTTTTCCCCCTTATTTGTTAAGCTGTCACTCATGATTACAAGTTGATGCCACATAGCAATATGGATCTTAATGCTGTTGTTTCAAGGTGCCACACACAGGGAGCATTTTGATTGCACCTCAGCGCCAGTGGTTAGCTAACAGTGTTAACTGCGCCGCCGCTGGTTCTCAGCTCGTCTCACCGTGCCTTATTACCTATGAATGACATGTTTACCGCGGCGGCAAGCCGTTCGATGACAAGTGTTCTGCTCTAGTGACGGGGAAACAAAAGGGTTTTCTGCTCGCGTGTTAATGACCCCTCATGCATGATTAACTCGCCGCAGGTTTCTCCAGCTGTGTGGCGAGTCTTCTCACTCAGAAAGCAGCGCAGGTACTGATTCAGGCTCTTGTCATCTCCCGCCTGGACTACTGTAACTCCCTCCTGCAGGTCTGCCTGCTACTGCCATTCGACCTTTGCAGCTCATCCAGAATGCAGCAGCTCGACTGGTCTTCAACCTTCCGAAATTCTCCCACACTACTCCACTCCTCCGCTCTCTTCACTGGCTACCGGTGGTTGCCCGCATCCAGTTCAAAACATTGGTGCTCACGTACCATGTCGTGAATGGATCGGGTCCAGCTTACATCCAGGACATGGTCAAACCCTCCATCCCAACCCGCACTCTCCGCTCTGCATCTGCAAAACAGCTCGTCCCTCCCTCACTGAGAGCAAAACACTCGACTAGATCACGACTCTTTGCTGTCCTTGCTCCGAAATGGTGGAACGAGCTCTCTGAAGACACCAGGACCGCAGAGAGCCTTCACATCTTCCACCGTAAACTAAACACACACCTCTTCAGACTCTACCTCGACTAAAAGACTAACAAATTGTAGCACTTAAATTGTACTTATAACGCCACTTATCTATAGAAAATTGTAAATTGGCTTATTTGAGGAAATTGCACTTTCTTGTTTCTT